CACAGCCTGGTCTCACAGGCTGCCTCTCACTCCATCAACAGGGCAGTTACTGCCCCAAGCCGGTCTGGTTTATGGGCATTTCTAAGGTAGCTGTGCATTAGAACAGTGGAGGAATTGGGGATGCTGAAAGGTTAGCAAACATCGCTCTACCAAGGTGTGTAAAAAATACTTGTTCACCTACTGTGTGGAATAAATAACAGAGGCCAGCCATTCATACCTGTTCTGTGTGGCTACACTGAATGAATGAGACTGTTGCTCAGAGGTGCACATCTGTGCTCATAGAAGCAGGGGCAGGTCTGAGCTGCTCTGGGCATGGCGACAGGGATTTGGTGTAGTCATTGGCTGGTCCCTTTCTTGCTCTGGGACCAGCAAGACAACTTGCTTAAAATGGCTGCAGGGGTGAGTTTCTGGTCGTAATGTGCCTGCACGTGTGAACAGCTGTAGTATCCTAGCTTTGAAACTGTGGAGTATCTTGTGCATATTTGGGTTCTAACTATTGTTTTTTTTTTTTTTTTTGTGGGTGTGGGTGGCCCAGACATGCATAGCTTTGTCGTGTTCTGAAGATATCCGTAATAGGCTTTTCACCTGAACCATCCCTGACTTGTCACTACCATGACCTTGAGCATTGGCTTAGCTGCCAAACATTTTGTAACCCAGACCCTTTTACAGATATACCCAGGGAACACAGCTACATAAAGGACAGCGTGTTTTCCGTTACAGTTAGTTGTCTTAGAATTTGGACCCCTGTCTATGAGAAAGGGTAGGGACTGGGTGTAGAAATACAGCAAGCAGTTTAATCTCCCTTCCCTCTCAGTCCTGACTGCGGCTTTAATTTAGTCCCCATGATGCACTTCTGGAAGTGTGAGCATGACTCCCCCCAGTGAAGTTACTTTTCTCCCAACATGTAGAGTGAACACAAAGCTTGAAGATCTCCTTAAGAAGCGAGAGCTGCTCAGAGAGAAGGGGAAGGGAGTGGACCCTGGCCATTTGAATATCTTGTTTCACTTATGCCAAAGCTACTGTACAGGTTCTCATCCAATTCTAGAGGATGCATTTATCTCCAGGTTTTTGTTTGTTGTTTGTTTGTTTGATGCTTTTCACTGTGAGATCCTCCGTGGCAGTCTTATCATCAGCACAGTAAACTAGTTCATTTCCCCCATGAACTATTCAGATATATTTATTAAATACAGCATTGAAGAAGGGTGTGTCACTTGGGTGGGGCAGTCATGGACCATCCATGCTCCTATGTGGGTGATGATTTCCTTCCCGTGCACAAAGGGCATGTTCTGAGACTGTATTTTCCCCCTCTGTGAGTTGAACTGGAAGATATTGGCCTAGTGTAACTAGCATCATTTATATTATCCAGATTGCATTTTACCAAGTTCCTTTGCATTTATTGCATGTGTGTCTGTATCTGTTGGGGCACTTTGAGTGCATGATCTTAGTCAATCCTCATAACCCGGCAGGACAGGCACAGTATTTACCTGGAGGCAGACATGAAGGAGACTGAGAGGGTGGCGGGAAGGAGTAGGGAAGGGAGACACCACTCGGCCAAGCCAGTGAAGCAGAGTCTGCGTCCCAGTCCTCCTAAAATCCACAGTTGTCACTCTCAGGTTCTGATAAACCAGCATAAAAACCATCCTAAAGACACTGCTGTAACTGAGATGGTGTGTGCCAGCTTTGAGCGGAGTGTGAGGACCACCCAGCAGGCATCTCAGATTCTGAGTGGATAGTGTTGATGGAGCCCAGCCCTTCCAGAAAACAGGTCCTAGGGTTGATTGGCCCTGTCGTGTTCTACCACATGTACTTTAGTTTGGTGGCTTTCACGTGGTATTAGAGATGGTATCTGCTTGCTATAACAGGCTGGACATTGCAGGATTCAGAGTTCCAGAAGACACAGCCCTTGTCTCTCAGGATAAGTATAGTGTGCTCCAGGAGAGGTGTGTACTCCACCCCAGTGATGGGAAGAATTTAATGTGGAGAGAAAGGACCTTGGGGTCCAAAGTTAGAGAGACACAGGTGTTTACTAGAAGAAAACCCTTTGTTGTAAGGGATCCAGGTCTTGGCAGGTGGTGTGGGGTAGCAGGTAGCTCCTGCCTTCTGTGTATTTGACCTTGGCGTTCCTCCTCACTTAAGAACAGGCCAACCTTGATAGACTGTTGGTCATGTAGTTTCTGAGGACTTGCTGGTTATATAGTCAAGGTCATGGCCAGTAGGACTCCCATTCCACTCCTAAAGTCAGGTAGCACCTAAAGGTTCCGTTTGTTTTCCACTCTCTCCACTCCCTGATCATCTAAACACTAGTGGAGAGTGTTGTCTGGGCAGGAAAAGAAAGCACTGGCTAGGCTCAAAAATGATACAGGAGCCTTGGAAGCATCCACTGAGCTCAGACTTGGTTAAAATTATCTACAGAATTAAGTCCTTTGCCTGCGTTACTGCTATCAAATGCTGTTGTTGTCTTTCCCTGTAGCCAGAGAGAAAGAGGGTTCCCCATTAGTCCTGCTTGGAAGATAGCTTGTGGTTGGTGGCAGACCCACCGTGATTAACCCTGTAGGGGAAGCTGTGTGATTAACCCTACTTGGAAGATAGCTTGTGGTTGGTGGCAGACCCACCGTGATTAACCCTGCTTGTAAGATAGCTTGGGACTGGTCACAGAACCACCATGTTTCCTGCCAACTCTTTGCTAATCTGCATGACAGTGATGATGAGCCACTGTTAATAAACACACCACATGTTAGGTTTGTGCAATCCTTCCCCAGGTGTTCTCTGAGAACAAGGGCTGGTTTCCCGTGTAGAACTCACATCTAGGCTTCCCTGTGCCTGTGTGACCCTTGAGCCTAGGTCTTCTCAGCTGTGGCTAATGAAGGAGCCACTCATGTTGCTCCATATCCACACCCAGGTCCTGTTTCTACTGAGAATTGGCCTTGTACCAGGGCTGCCTAACTCACAGAGATGGCAGCTGCTGGTTTACCTGCCCACTTCTGGCACTGTCTACCTCCCTGGTGGCTATCATACCTGACCACTGCTCAGGCGGTCCCTGAAGCAGGGTCAGTCCTATGACTCCTGGACCACAACCATCCCTGTTTGTGAGATACGTGGCCTGTCTTGAGAGCCATCTGCTTCCTTTCACATCACCAGGGTTTCTCTTTCCAAACAAGTTGAAAACTAACAAAAGGCAGCCTTAGTCTTTCTTTTCCCTCCTTCCCTCCAGGTAGTCCCCATACCATCTCTATGTCTTTCTTTTCCCCACTCTTTCTTTCTTACTACTGCAGTGGGAGCTCCTCCCTTAATCCTCCTCAATCATTCTTGACAGAAGACTTTCCTAGGAGTCTTCCTGAAGGACCTCAGTGTGCTTCCATGAAAGATGGTCACCGGCTTGGGCACAGCAGCTCTTTGCCTCTGTGCACCCAGCCTGGCCACCATCGTGGTTGCTGACTCTGGGGGCCACTCCTTTCAAACCTTTGAGAATTTTTACCTTCATCATTTTCATTTGCAAAAATGGTAGGTAGGTCCCCTGAGCAATTGACTAGCCCCTTTCTCTGGAAGAATTATGGTTTTACAGGAAGCTGTGAACGGGGTGACTGGGGGATGATGCGCTTTGGGGATCTTCTAGGAAGACCATGTTTATCTTTCCAAACACGCCATGGGGAAATAACGCTTCTTTGACGATGCCTTTGCCATCCTTAACCGTGGCGGGAAGCTACTCTTCCTGTGTTTTATGCCTTTCTCGGTCTATTTAAAAAGCTAGAAAGGGAGCCAGGAGGAAACAGGGGGAAGAGAGCTAGCTGCTCAGTGGTCCCTGAACTCAGGAGGCGCTGATGGGCAGTGCTAGAACCTGCCTACTTCTCTCTTAATGCAATTCCTTTTCCTTGATGTTAATGCAACTTGTGCCCTTCCTAGAAGTAATAAAAGGAAATGAAGACACATTCTGAAATGAAACTTGACTCTAATCCATTCATCATCTAATACTAGCCTCTTTATCTTCTCTGGTACCTAATCTGGTTAAATGTCCCTGTTGTAGGATTTTAGTGAAAATCCCCTATTGGGAATAGGGTTTTTTGCAATTGGATTACTCTCAGTAAATGGCCCAGTAGTTCGCTTGTTTCAGCTTATTTTTTTTTCCTTTGTGATCTTGCTGGGCTGAATTATAGCCCAGCATCGAGGGGGAGGGGCCAGAGCAAGGGGCAGAGAGGGGCGTGCTTGGAGAAGACCTGGGGAGGAGGCAGTGAGGACTGCTTTTTATTTTCTTTGTTTTCCTGCTTCTCTTCACCATCCACTCTGCCCCAGGACAACAAACACTTGTATTTTATTAGTTAGAACTACCCATTTCTCAAACGCATACTGTTTATTAGCCCAATTCATCATCATCCAGTTAATTTATTAGTGGTCCCTGATGGTTTCCTAATGAATCAGGGCCGAGGTAATCTGCATAAAATATGCAGGTGCCGGCTGGGCCAGAGCTTCTGGTTAAGTTCAGTCTGCCATCCAGGCCTGAGTGTGAAGGGTGCGATCCTGCTGTGTCAGAGACTATGGAATTAGGGGGTGGGTGAGGAGACTGTAAGGCTTTGGGGTTCCAGCCTTACCAGGTCTCTTGTGAATGAAGATTCCTTTTTCCTGAGTTACCTATGAAGCCAGCCTGCCTCCTAGAGGTCCCTGGGGTAGTCGATTCCACCCCACTGTGTGCCTCGCCCTGCTAAGCCTCTGCTTTTGACTCACCTGCTGATGGGAAAGGTGCAAAGCCTTAGGTTCTGGTGGTGACACTTGGTGATGTAGGTAGAGGGTGCTCATAGGTGAACCCGAGGCAGGACAGTGTGGAGAGCAAACGTTCTCCTACTCCTAAGTGGATTAGGGAGGTGGGGTTGGGCAGAGTGAGTTCGGGCATCTTACAAAGTCAAGCCAGGAGGGTGTTACAGGGGACATGGGGCTCATGCTCTGAAGTTGTAGGCTGTGGTGACCCAGCTCACTCACCATGTCTTCCTCTGTTCTCCCTCCCCCCACAGTCGAACAAGGTCCCGGTGGTGCAGCATCCCCACCATGTCCACCCCCTCACTCCTCTCATCACCTACAGCAACGAACACTTCACCCCGGGAAATCCACCTCCACACTTACCAGCTGATGTAGACCCCAAAACAGGTAAGTTGGGGGGCTCTAAAGGCCTCTGTGGAGGGGAGTGGTATGAGGGGGTCTTGAATTCTCACCTGGGAGCTGAAAGGGAAGCTCTTAGGGGGTCTGGAGCCTGGTGTGTGTGTTGGGGGGCAGTTTCTCCCTCCTCTTTGGAGAAATCCACTTAGAGGGATAGGATTTATACCAGGGCTTTTGGGGGGAGGGCTGGCTCTGATGACCTCCCTAAGCAAACCAAGTAGTAATGGGACTGGTGGTGTCTCCTGGGTACTTTGAGCTTCCTGAGACCAACATCATGGTTTCAAAGGGATCCAGTCACTTAAGAGTGACTTGTTGGTGTATCCTTAAAGGGACCACATCACCCGGGGTCTCATATTCCTTGTAGATTCTTTGCAATTTATTCTTCCATTCCAGTATCTTGGATGTGTTTTTGTTGAATCCATTTTACAGATGTAGAAACTGAAGCCTTGGAAGCTTTCCTCATTTCAGCCAGCAGTGTCTTGAGCAGAAGGTGCCACACTGTCCTCAGCCACTACACCTGTCCCTTTTTTTTGTTCCCCCAAAAGGAAATTGGTGAAAGCCAGGGCTGCTTATAGCTCCCCCTACGGCAAGATTCTGTATGGCAGACAGCCGCTTCTCACAGACAGGCCCTCTAGGCCTTCTGTGTGGATGCCAGATAGAGCCTGGCAGTTTTTGACTGACTGGAGGAGGCGACCAGCCTGCCCCAGGCCCCCGCAAAGTACAAGGCTCCACTTGCAGCAGGCAGCGTCTCATTTGAATAATGGTAGGCCAGGGAATAGCTTTTAAATGGTTATCGTAAACCATATGATTAACGTCTAAGGACTGTTTATTTTTCCTCTGCGAACATTCTTTCAAGTGTGCAAATGGCTCAGTGTAGGGTCCAAGCCTGGCTAATCTGTTTGCTTTTTGTAACAGAGAGAAAGCAATGTCTGCATTAAAATGTCACCCAGGGAGACTTAATTTACAGATTAAAAGCTTCCTGAATGAATTTCTTGAAAAATGAGATAGTTTTTATCCGTGAACGTTGCCGTCCTGTCCCTCCAATTCTGGGTTGATTCCGGCACCTTCTGCACATGTTGCTTCCCGCCTGGACTGGGCAGCTGGGCAGAGCCATCCCTTTCAAGCCTAGTTACTCTCAGGGTTCCACATCCTGAGGATGGATGACCAGATACGCGGCTTGTGCAGTTAGGAAGTGAGCCATGGTGACACTTTCAGCATGCAATCTCATGGGCCTCAGGAGAAGGCTCATGGTCCCTGACCCACGAGTACCCAGCCAGCAATAGGGCTGGTGCCCACAGATGAATCTGCCCTCCAGGGATCAGAGTCCAGAGTTGAGCACACCGGGCCACCTTCTCCATACCTCCCCAGGTATGATGGCTCCCGGGGGAAACACCGCCTGGCATCTGGTGGTTTCTCTTCATGGAGGAATTGACCAGCTACAGGAGCTGAGTCTTTTGAAAGAAATCAGGCTCACCTCTCTGAGTCATAACTTAAAATGAATTGCAAGGCATGGCCATAATCACAGCACTTAGGAGGCTGAGGGAAGAGGCTGTGAGTTCAAAGTCAATGTGGGCTGTGTAGTTAGACTCTGTCTCAAAACACTAAAATCAATTAGTTAATTAAGCCTTACAAATTAGCAGTATAACTTTCACATTCTAAATAAAGGGTAACGGACCAAGTTCCAAAGCGAAAGGAATTAGTGATTGTGACTTCTCACCTTGGTGTGCCAAGCTTTTTAGTTTTGTTTTTTTTTTTTTTTAAACTTGAAGTAACCACTTTAGTCACACAAAGCAGTAGTAGCCAAGATGGCATCCTTCTTGGTCTCATTCACTCAGTCACATGAGTCCTTCCAGAGCAAGCTAACTCGCTGAAAACCCACGCTGTAGGAGAAAAAGAAAGCTGCAGACAGCCCTCTCCCTCAGAGTTGGGAATGACCTCCAGCTGGGACTTGAGGAGAGACAACTATTTTCCTTATTCGTTCCCTGCTCCCTCCCTCCACAGCCTTCTTGCCTTTTCACTCATACCTAAAACCCATTGCTTCTTCTCGCAGGAATCCCACGGCCTCCGCATCCCCCAGATATCTCTCCGTACTACCCGCTGTCGCCCGGCACCGTAGGACAAATCCCCCATCCGCTAGGATGGTTAGTACCACAGTAAGCAGCTCCAGTTTTTAATTCCCATTTTGTTTCTTGCATGAGCATGTTTATTACTTGTGTGTGTGTGTGTGTGTGTCGGTGTGTGTGTGTGTGTGTCGGTGTGTGTGTGTATGTCTGTGAGTATATATGTCTGTGTGAATGTCTGTCTTTGTGTGTGTGTGTGTGTGTGTGTATGTCTATGTGTCTGTCTCTGTGTCTGTCTCTGTGTGTGTGTATATGTGTGTATGTCTATGTGTCTGTCTCTGTGTGTCTGTCTCTGTGTGTGTGTATATGTGTGTATGTCTGTGTCTGTCTCTGTGTGTATGTGTGTCTGTCTCTGTGTGTGTGTATATGTGTGTATGTCTATGGGTCTGTCTCTGTGTGTATGTGTGTCTGTCACTGTGTGTGTGTATATGTGTGTATGTCTATGGGTCTGTCTCTGTGTGTATGTGTGTCTGTCACTGTGTGTGTGTATATGTGTGTATGTCTATGGGTCTGTCTCTGTGTGTATGTGTGTCTGTCACTGTGTGTGTGTATATGTGTGTATGTCTATGGGTCTGTCTCTGTGTGTATGTGTGTCTGTCACTGTGTGTGTGTATATGTGTGTATGTCTATGGGTCTGTCTCTGTGTGTATGTGTGTCTGTCACTGTGTGTGTGTATATGTGTGTATGTCTATGGGTCTGTCTCTGTGTGTATGTGTGTCTGTCACTGTGTGTGTGTATATGTGTGTATGTCTATGGGTCTGTCTCTGTGTGTATGTGTGTCTGTCACTGTGTGTGTGTATATGTGTGTATGTCTATGGGTCTGTCTCTGTGTGTATGTGTGTCTGTCACTGTGTGTGTGTATATGTGTGTATGTCTATGGGTCTGTCTCTGTGTGTATGTGTGTCTGTCACTGTGTGTGTGTATATGTGTGTATGTCTATGGGTCTGTCTCTGTGTGTATGTGTGTCTGTCACTGTGTGTGTGTATATGTGTGTATGTCTATGGGTCTGTCTCTGTGTGTATGTGTGTCTGTCACTGTGTGTGTGTATATGTGTGTATGTCTATGGGTCTGTCTCTGTGTGTATGTGTGTCTGTCACTGTGTGTGTGTATATGTGTGTATGTCTATGGGTCTGTCTCTGTGTGTATGTGTGTCTGTCACTGTGTGTGTGTATATGTGTGTATGTCTATGGGTCTGTCTCTGTGTGTATGTGTGTCTGTCACTGTGTGTGTGTATATGTGTGTATGTCTATGGGTCTGTCTCTGTGTGTATGTGTGTCTGTCACTGTGTGTGTGTATATGTGTGTATGTCTATGGGTCTGTCTCTGTGTGTATGTGTGTCTGTCACTGTGTGTGTGTATATGTGTGTATGTCTATGGGTCTGTCTCTGTGTGTATGTGTGTCTGTCACTGTGTGTGTGTATATGTGTGTATGTCTATGGGTCTGTCTCTGTGTGTATGTGTGTCTGTCACTGTGTGTGTGTATATGTGTGTATGTCTATGGGTCTGTCTCTGTGTGTATGTGTGTCTGTCACTGTGTGTGTGTATATGTGTGTATGTCTATGGGTCTGTCTCTGTGTGTATGTGTGTCTGTCACTGTGTGTGTGTATATGTGTGTATGTCTATGGGTCTGTCTCTGTGTGTATGTGTGTCTGTCACTGTGTGTGTGTATATGTGTGTATGTCTATGGGTCTGTCTCTGTGTGTATGTGTGTCTGTCACTGTGTGTGTGTATATGTGTGTATGTCTATGGGTCTGTCTCTGTGTGTATGTGTGTCTGTCACTGTGTGTGTGTATATGTGTGTATGTCTATGGGTCTGTCTCTGTGTGTATGTGTGTCTGTCACTGTGTGTGTGTATATGTGTGTATGTCTATGGGTCTGTCTCTGTGTGTATGTGTGTCTGTCACTGTGTGTGTGTATATGTGTGTATGTCTATGGGTCTGTCTCTGTGTGTATGTGTGTCTGTCACTGTGTGTGTGTATATGTGTGTATGTCTATGGGTCTGTCTCTGTGTGTATGTGTGTCTGTCACTGTGTGTGTGTATATGTGTGTATGTCTATGGGTCTGTCTCTGTGTGTATGTGTGTCTGTCACTGTGTGTGTGTATATGTGTGTATGTCTATGGGTCTGTCTCTGTGTGTATGTGTGTCTGTCACTGTGTGTGTGTATATGTGTGTATGTCTATGGGTCTGTCTCTGTGTGTATGTGTGTCTGTCACTGTGTGTGTGTATATGTGTGTATGTCTATGGGTCTGTCTCTGTGTGTATGTGTGTCTGTCACTGTGTGTGTGTATATGTGTGTATGTCTATGGGTCTGTCTCTGTGTGTATGTGTGTCTGTCACTGTGTGTGTGTATATGTGTGTATGTCTATGGGTCTGTCTCTGTGTGTATGTGTGTCTGTCACTGTGTGTGTGTATATGTGTGTATGTCTATGGGTCTGTCTCTGTGTGTATGTGTGTCTGTCACTGTGTGTGTGTATATGTGTGTATGTCTATGGGTCTGTCTCTGTGTGTATGTGTGTCTGTCACTGTGTGTGTGTATATGTGTGTATGTCTATGGGTCTGTCTCTGTGTGTATGTGTGTCTGTCACTGTGTGTGTGTATATGTGTGTATGTCTATGGGTCTGTCTCTGTGTGTATGTGTGTCTGTCACTGTGTGTGTGTATATGTGTGTATGTCTATGGGTCTGTCTCTGTGTGTATGTGTGTCTGTCACTGTGTGTGTGTATATGTGTGTATGTCTATGGGTCTGTCTCTGTGTGTATGTGTGTCTGTCACTGTGTGTGTGTATATGTGTGTATGTCTATGGGTCTGTCTCTGTGTGTATGTGTGTCTGTCACTGTGTGTGTGTATATGTGTGTATGTCTATGGGTCTGTCTCTGTGTGTATGTGTGTCTGTCACTGTGTGTGTGTATATGTGTGTATGTCTATGGGTCTGTCTCTGTGTGTATGTGTGTCTGTCACTGTGTGTGTGTATATGTGTGTATGTCTATGGGTCTGTCTCTGTGTGTATGTGTGTCTGTCACTGTGTGTGTGTATATGTGTGTATGTCTATGGGTCTGTCTCTGTGTGTATGTGTGTCTGTCACTGTGTGTGTGTATATGTGTGTATGTCTATGGGTCTGTCTCTGTGTGTATGTGTGTCTGTCACTGTGTGTGTGTATATGTGTGTATGTCTATGGGTCTGTCTCTGTGTGTATGTGTGTCTGTCACTGTGTGTGTGTATATGTGTGTATGTCTATGGGTCTGTCTCTGTGTGTATGTGTGTCTGTCACTGTGTGTGTGTATATGTGTGTATGTCTATGGGTCTGTCTCTGTGTGTATGTGTGTCTGTCACTGTGTGTGTGTATATGTGTGTATGTCTATGGGTCTGTCTCTGTGTGTATGTGTGTCTGTCACTGTGTGTGTGTATATGTGTGTATGTCTATGGGTCTGTCTCTGTGTGTATGTGTGTCTGTCACTGTGTGTGTGTATATGTGTGTATGTCTATGGGTCTGTCTCTGTGTGTATGTGTGTCTGTCACTGTGTGTGTGTATATGTGTGTATGTCTATGGGTCTGTCTCTGTGTGTATGTGTGTCTGTCACTGTGTGTGTGTATATGTGTGTATGTCTATGGGTCTGTCTCTGTGTGTATGTGTGTCTGTCACTGTGTGTGTGTATATGTGTGTATGTCTATGGGTCTGTCTCTGTGTGTATGTGTGTCTGTCACTGTGTGTGTGTATATGTGTGTATGTCTATGGGTCTGTCTCTGTGTGTATGTGTGTCTGTCACTGTGTGTGTGTATATGTGTGTATGTCTATGGGTCTGTCTCTGTGTGTATGTGTGTCTGTCACTGTGTGTGTGTATATGTGTGTATGTCTATGGGTCTGTCTCTGTGTGTATGTGTGTCTGTCACTGTGTGTGTGTATATGTGTGTATGTCTATGGGTCTGTCTCTGTGTGTATGTGTGTCTGTCACTGTGTGTGTGTATATGTGTGTATGTCTATGGGTCTGTCTCTGTGTGTATGTGTGTCTGTCACTGTGTGTGTGTATATGTGTGTATGTCTATGGGTCTGTCTCTGTGTGTATGTGTGTCTGTCACTGTGTGTGTGTATATGTGTGTATGTCTATGGGTCTGTCTCTGTGTGTATGTGTGTCTGTCACTGTGTGTGTGTATATGTGTGTATGTCTATGGGTCTGTCTCTGTGTGTATGTGTGTCTGTCACTGTGTGTGTGTATATGTGTGTATGTCTATGGGTCTGTCTCTGTGTGTATGTGTGTCTGTCACTGTGTGTGTGTATATGTGTGTATGTCTATGGGTCTGTCTCTGTGTGTATGTGTGTCTGTCACTGTGTGTGTGTATATGTGTGTATGTCTATGGGTCTGTCTCTGTGTGTATGTGTGTCTGTCACTGTGTGTGTGTATATGTGTGTATGTCTATGGGTCTGTCTCTGTGTGTATGTGTGTCTGTCACTGTGTGTGTGTATATGTGTGTATGTCTATGGGTCTGTCTCTGTGTGTATGTGTGTCTGTCACTGTGTGTGTGTATATGTGTGTATGTCTATGGGTCTGTCTCTGTGTGTATGTGTGTCTGTCACTGTGTGTGTGTATATGTGTGTATGTCTATGGGTCTGTCTCTGTGTGTATGTGTGTCTGTCACTGTGTGTGTGTATATGTGTGTATGTCTATGGGTCTGTCTCTGTGTGTATGTGTGTCTGTCACTGTGTGTGTGTATATGTGTGTATGTCTATGGGTCTGTCTCTGTGTGTATGTGTGTCTGTCACTGTGTGTGTGTATATGTGTGTATGTCTATGGGTCTGTCTCTGTGTGTATGTGTGTCTGTCACTGTGTGTGTGTATATGTGTGTATGTCTATGGGTCTGTCTCTGTGTGTATGTGTGTCTGTCACTGTGTGTGTGTATATGTGTGTATGTCTATGGGTCTGTCTCTGTGTGTATGTGTGTCTGTCACTGTGTGTGTGTATATGTGTGTATGTCTATGGGTCTGTCTCTGTGTGTATGTGTGTCTGTCACTGTGTGTGTGTATATGTGTGTATGTCTATGGGTCTGTCTCTGTGTGTATGTGTGTCTGTCACTGTGTGTGTGTATATGTGTGTATGTCTATGGGTCTGTCTCTGTGTGTATGTGTGTCTGTCACTGTGTGTGTGTATATGTGTGTATGTCTATGTGTCTGTCTCTGTGTCTGTCTCTGTGTGTGTGTGTGTGTGTCGGTGTGTGTGTGTGTGTGTCGGTGTGTGTGTGTATGTCTGTGAGTATATATGTCTGTGTGAATGTCTGTCTTTGTGTGTGTGTGTGTGTGTGTGTATGTCTATGTGTCTGTCTCTGTGTCTGTCTCTGTGTGTGTGTATATGTGTGTATGTCTATGTGTCTGTCTCTGTGTGTATGTGTGTCTGTCTCTGTGTGTGTGTATATGTGTGTATGTCTATGTGTCTGTCTCTGTGTGTATGTGTGTCTGTCTCTGTGTGTGTGTATATGTGTGTATGTCTATGTGTCTGTCTCTGTGTGTATGTGTGTCTGTCTCTGTGTGTGTGTATATGTGTGTATGTCTATGTGTCTGTCTCTGTGTGTATGTGTGTCTGTCTCTGTGTGTGTGTATATGTGTGTATGTCTATGTGTCTGTCTCTGTGTGTCTGTCTCTGTGTGTGTGCGTGTGTGTAAGCATGGATGAGTGCCTGTTCACAGAGGACAGCTGGTAGAAAATACAGGAAGTTGCTGTTGAAGTACCTAGTAGATTTGCAGAAAGATCACACCATTTCAATGAGCTGTGTTGACAAAGGTCAGTGGTAATTGGCACTCTAAACTCAGCGTCCCCAAAGATGTCCTGAAGCTACTCTGGGAACTGCAGCAGGCCATGAAGCTGATTTGGGCTCTTTCGCCAGTGGCAACCCAAATTGGACTCACATTGCTGGGTTGAGCTCTCTCTTTTAGGTATTGCCTCGGTGGCAGCAAGGGAGTGGGAACAGGAGCAAGCTAGTGGTGAAATCTACTTGAAATTTTGGAGTGGGAGTGAAGGTTTTTTGTTTTTTTTTTCCCCTCAGCCCACAGATCCCAGCTACCATTCAAACCTTCACCGTGAAGGCAGATAGCGACAGTGGAAGGACACTCAGGTCATCCATCCAGCGTCTCTGAGATTTTTTGCGTGGCTAATGCTTTAGCCAACTATGGTGTTCCAGAGGGACAAGTAGAACCCCCCATTAGCTTTCAGGGACTGGGCTGCCTGAATGTTGACCCCAGTCCCTGGCAGTGTCCAAATAATTTCACTGCCACTTACAAGTTTAAAGTGTGATGTGTTTAGGAACCAGAGCAAAGGAACCTTAGTAGCGCATGTGAGTGCGTGCATATAATGTTTGAGATTCTATGGTTTATGCATCTCTTTCTCCATATTATCAGTGACTTCTAGCTTTAGAAAACACAGGGCAATGTTGAGTGCTGGAAGATGCAAATCCTGCTGAAACTGTCAAGTTTGGGTCTTAGGGAAGACGGACTTTCATAGTCTTAAAGGCAATAAAAAATTTGGAGTAGTGCCCCCATTCTAGCCCCTTTGCTCCAGTTGGACAGATGCTGGGCTATTTGTCTGTCTAAAACAACAGGTTGTGTTATGCAGTAGCTGTGCTAAGTACCAATTGTGGGTACTGTTTCTGTTTCTTTGTCTTATTTTTGTTTGGTGAGGTAGACTTGAGGGTTGGATCTGTTTCTTCTGCTTCTTCTCCGCTGGATGGGGCTGCGCCTCATCGGATGGGGAGACACTGCAGGCTAGATAAAAAGGAATAGCCAACTCAGACAGCCCTCCGTCAGGAAAAGTTGTGTGTCTTTCATGAGGATGCGATTCTGCATGTTGCTGTATTTTTTAATTATTGTAATGAGGTGTGATTGTCTATTGGTTACCCACAATTCTTCTTGGGGACTCTCCCCCCCTGGTAACTCTTGTCAACACTTGTTAATTTGACAAAAGGCTACAAATTAAGCTCTGTTAATTTAATGTTTTCTCACCGAGATCTAAATACCGAAAGAGGCCCAAAGCGCAACTGAAGTCCTTTGATTCGCTGTCCTTTATTTTGGTATAAATTTACATTCATTATTGTTTTCCTTTGGATGTGTAGCCCTCAATTAGTGTGATGGCTCCATTAAAGCAAGCGAGACTTCGCCTTTAATTATTACAACAAAACACCTAGTCTCAGCTTGGGGAGAGGGTCTCTATTGACACAAGCCGAGGTTATAAAATTTAATTAGCCATTCCTATCAGATTTATGGCATTCAAATTGTTCTGTGTTTCTTCCCTTTGATCCCGCCTGTACAATCCCCAAGATTTTTGTTCTGATCAAATGAGAATAAAGCTTACTGTGCAGAGAGAACTTCCCCTCTTCTTCCTTTCCGGTTCCCACCCCAGCCTTATTTCTGGTCTCTCACTTTCTGTACCCCTTCTTTGTAGGCAAGGTCAGCCTGTGTATCCAATCACCACAGGAGGGTTCAGACACCCCTACCCCACAGCCCTGACAGTCAACGCTTCTATGTCTAGGTGAGTTGCAGCGACTTCTCAGAAGGCCCCTGTGGATGGCCGCCAGGCCGCCAGGGCCCGTGAGCGTGTGGGGGTATAAGCATAGGAAGGCCCCAAAGGTGCCTGGACCTTTCGAGGTAAGCGACTGCCTGTCTAAGATGGTAGCAGTCTGTCCACACAGCAGCATTAGCGGTGCGGGGGCATTGCCGCCCGCCCGCCCGGGAAGGGAACCCGGGTTCCGTTCTCAGCACCCACACTGGCAGTTCACACCCGTCCGGCACCCGAACCCGGCGCCCGCTGCTGGCCCCCCAGCACCAGGCTCCCATGTGGTGCTCATAGGCGCAGGTGCACACACTCACTCATCCACAGAAATGGACATGGTGATTAGAGTGGGCGGGGCTTCAGGGGACGTGGTGATTAGAGTGGGCGGGGCTTCCGGGGAAGTGGTGATTAGAGTGGGCGGGGCTTCAGGGGACATGGTGATTAGAGTGGGCGGGGCTTCAGGGGACATGGTGATTAGAGTGGGCGGGGCTTCAGGGGAAATGGTGATTAGAGTGGGCGGGGCTTCAGGGGAAATGGTGATTAGAGTGGGCGGGGCTTCAGGGGAAATGGTGATTAGAGTGGGCGGGGCTTCAGGGGAAATGGTGATTAGAGTGGGCGGTGCTTCAGGGGAAATGATTAGAGTGGGCGGTGCTTCAGGGGAAATGATTAGAGTGGGCGGTGCTTCAGGGGAAATGATTAGAGTGGGCGGGGCTTCAGGGAAAGCGGATAGAGTGGGTGGTGCTTCAGAGGAAATGGTGATTAGAGTGGGCGGGGCTTCAGGGGAAATGGTGATTAGAGTGGGCGGTGCTTCAGGGGACATCCATAGGCGCAGGTGCACACACTCACTCATCCACAGAAATGGACATGGTGATTAGAGTGGGCGGGGCTTCAGGGGACATGGTGATTAGAGTGGGCGGGGCTTCAGGGAAAACTGATAGAGTGGGCGGTGCTTCAGAGGAAATGGTGATTACAGTGGGCGGTGCTTCAGGGGAAATGATTAGAGTGGGCGGTGCTTCCGGGGGAAATGGATAGAGTGGGCGGTGCTTCAGGGGAAATTATTAGAGTGGGCGGTGCTTCAGGGGAAATG